ACAAATTTGGGCCGCATTTTAGCAATTGATACAATGATAGAGACGAATTTTCAAATAATAAACACATCTTTAGTTTAAAATTTAATTGGTTTAGATCAAATAGGCAACCTGTTAAACTAATGCGCCATTTTTTTGTAGTTTTTCTGACAGTATGTTAGGATTTTTTTGATTTAGAATTATCTTGTTAACTTAGTTTTATAGTAACTCAGTTTTTTCGCTTATTTAATAAGCGGAAACGGAATTGTATATTTAAGGTCAGTGTATTAAGTATGTACTAGAATATGTATAACAAGGGGCAATTTAGTTTAATCCTTTTTTAGTCAGTTTTTTAGGTATTATTTCTAAAATTAAATAATTTATTTTTAGCTATGTCTAAGCGAATTTATGAGTGTGACACTAAAAACAGAAAATACATAATATAAAAAAGTTTAAAAAGAGTTCTAGTTGAATTCTTAAATTAAGCGATATTGTAGTTCAAATTAAAGATATTCAAATTCAAGGTGAAGGTGTATTTGTAGATACGTACTCGTCCACATCAAAAAGTAATCAAGATAGCGAAATAAATGTATATGTATATCTCAATGATTTCCAAAGTTATGAGGAAATCATCAAAACAAAAGTTGTGAAGATAGTTAGGATGCAGAATTTAAAATTATTTTTAATCATGTGGTGGTTCAAAAAAGCATGACGAATGAAATATATTTTTCTAATAATTATACATACTCAAACCTAACAGGTTTTCCAATATTTTAATATTTCGAAAAAAATACGAGTTTTCACACTTTCAAAAAAAAAAAAAAATAGTGTCATTATTTTTGAAAGTAGATCACTCGAATTTGATGTTAGCGTTATTCGAAGACGACTACGATATATGCAAATGAATTTGAATTAGATGCTACAGAGTGTTCAAAATGAATAATTTTGGACCATTTTAAATTTAAAAACCTCGACTTTCTTAAATGGCAGACAAACTTTTTTTTTATTTGTTTTGAAATTTTCAAACTTTTTTATTAATAATAATAATAATACATACATAAAAGTAATAGTTTTGGTTACAACTACAACTTTTATGAAGTATGTCACATACCTATCATATTTTGCCATTTATTTTAACTTTACCAATATTAACCCTTCTTTCTGTCTAAGACTATTGCTACAATATTATTTAACCATGACAAAACTATTCGCCACGCATCCTATGAAGATTTAGAAATGAACAGGAGAATGAACTTTGTTGGAGAGATAAAGCAACAGGGAGTTATTAGCAATTTTGGTCGAAATAACTGAAAAATTTTAAATTCAGAAAAAGGAAATAATATTAAATACCAATTACTACAAATTAACTTATCTTCCATTTCTACCAATCCATTTCTGTGGGTAACGATTATTTAAAAATTCTCATACTTCTCGATAGTAATGCGGAGCATATTTGTTGGATCTCAATGTTAGTTTTGCACTTTCAGTTCTCATTGGTAGCATCCCGTTTTTCATATTCAATACTAACACTATCACGAAACCGTTCTATTAAACACTGAATACATTGTATATATATATATATATATATATATATATATATATATATATATATATATATATATATATATATATATATATATATATATATATATATATATATATGTATATATATATATATATATATATATATATATATATATATATATATATATATATATATATATATATATATATATATATATATATATATATATATATATATATATATATATATATATATATATATATATATATATATATATATATATATATATATTATGATTTTCACTAATCTTTTAATTTGAAGAATAATCAGCTTTTTATTCATAAAAATCGATTTTATCGGTCTGGACAACTTTTTCGCGCATACAAACATCACGTGATCCTTTGCTCTGCAAAACAGCTGAGATCTCAGTTATTCTACAATACGAAGTACCACACGTGAATCTAAATAAGTTCTTATGGGTTAATATTTCGCTTCAATTACTGAATATATATTTGTTTTGTGTTTTAAAATATGAGTTCGTCAAGAAGAAAGTGTAAATGTAGTACTGATTTGTTTTGTTATATTTGCGGTGTTTATTTAACAAAAAAACAGCAAGGAAAAATTACAGGCTTTCTTAAGGAGGCTTACACTGAATATTTCGGTTTTAAAATGGACAAACTAGAAAAACCACGGGTTCCTCATAAAGTTTGTAAGTTATTCGCCGAGTCTGTCTGAGTCTGAGAACGTTCTGGATTAGACTTTGGTATTCCGATGGTCTGGATGGAGCCCACAAATCATTTCGATGATTGTTACTTTTGCGTTGTAGAGGCTAAAGATTTCAATCGCAATCAAACCTGGAGATATCCAGATTTACAATCTACAAAATGTCCTATACTGCATTCGAATGCCCTCCGAAACAATGATGTTATCAAATTCACAGAAATCGGGACAGTCTACAAGTGGAAGTGAATGGGAAGGTGAAACATCTCCGCCCAAGTTATTTTCTCAAAATGAACTCAGTGACTTAATACTTGATCTCTATTTATCAAAACAAGGATCAGAATTATTAGCCTCAAGATTAAAAGAAAAAAAATTATTGGCCCCAACAGTGAGAGTTATTGCAATTTTTTAGTGAAGACGAAGGACTAGTGTACTGTAATGATATCGCGAAGCTACTTTTAGACATGGGTTTAACAGCATACAAACCTACTGAGTGCCGACTTTTCAATGACAGTTCTAAAAGAAGTTTGAAATGCGTTTTACTGCACAATGGTAATAAATTTGCATCTATTCCAATTGCCCATTCAATAAAACTCAAAGAGGAGTATAAAAAATTAAATACTCGGAGCATCAATGGCCGATTTGTGTAGATTTGAAAATGGTTAATTTTTTACTCGGTCAACAGAGTGGATGCACGAAATACCCCTGCTTTATTTGTATGTGGGACAGTAGAGCAAAGCAACATCATTGGAATCAAGATGTTTGGCCTATGAGAGATTCTTTAACTGTCAGTAAAGCCAATGTAATAAGAGAGCCATTGGTAAGCAGAGACGAAATCATACTCCCAACATTATATATTAAGTTAGCAATGATCAAGCAATTTTTAAAAGCATTAGACAAGGACGGAAACTCTTTTAATTACATTTGTAGAAAATTTCCTAAGCTTAGTATGGAAAAGTTGAAAGGTGGAATATTTGATGGTCTTCAAATACAGCAAATGATGTTATGATTGTAACGGAAAGTAAAGCTTGGGAAAGTTTTGCATTGGTAGTCGAAAATTTATTACGTAATCATAAAGCGCCAAATTATGAAGAAATTGTGCAAAATATGATGACAATTTTTCAGATTCTAGGAGCAAATATGAGTATCAAATTACACTATCTTCGTAATCATCTAGATAAATTCCCGGATAATTTAGGGAATTATAGTGAAGAACACGGAGAGTGGTTCCACCAGGATTTAAAAGTGATGGAAGAACGGTATCAGGGTCGCTGAGATTGTCACATGATGGCAGATTACTGTTGGCCTTTAAAAAGTGATTGTTCGAAGAAGAGTTATAAAAGAAAAGCTAATAAAAGGCGTTTTATGGAAATATAGTATAAGTTTTTAACATTTTTTTCTTTATTTACTTCAATGTTTGTTAATCTTTTAAAATAAAACTAATATTTTCAACATTTATGTCATTTTATTTCTTGTTTTCCGATTTTTTTGAATTAAAATGACAATAAAGATTTTAACAAAATTGAGAGCAATTCTTACAAAATCATTGATAGTTTCATGAATTGTGAGCATAAATATATCTAAAATTAGTCTCATATCGAGGGCAACAAAACCACTATATACCAGTGTAATAGTTTCCACCAATTTCTCTTTCTTATCCGACTAAATAAATCGCGAAGTATTAAAAATAGGTATATAACATATTTAATCAAAGTTGTAGGTTTTCGTAAGATTTTTCAGAAAAAATCATTTCAAATTCAAGGAAATCATGATTTTTCAAGTTAAAACGATGCCAAATATTCGTTTATTCTGAACACCTTGTAGCATCTTATTCAAATTCCATTGCAAACGTCTTTTACGTCAGCTTTGAATAACGCTAATATCAAATATTAGTAACCTACCTTGCAAAATAACGGCGCTATCCTAATTTTTTTGTTAGTGTGAAAACTAGTATTATTTTACAAAAATTGAAATATTGGAAAAACTATCACTTTTAGGTATGTATTGTTATTATTAATAAAAAAAGTTGTAGAATTTCAAAACGAATTTTTAAAAAATCTAAAAATGGGGTGTTCCATTTAAAAAAATGTATGTTTTATTCGTCACTGTTTTTTGAGCAACGCTGTATATTTTCAAATAATAACAATTTTATCATCAATGAGATCATGAAATTTACTCCATCGTTGACTCGCCCTGTACACTAGTAGAGGTAGTACAGTCACGTTTTTCTGGAATCATATTCTGTCCTTATTTGATAATTTAAAAATATAATTGATTACCTAACGCAGTTAAGCGATAAATTTGATTATTTAATAATAATAATAAAACGATCTAAATTTAAAAATATTAATATATTAAATAATTTCAAAGTAAATATTTATTTTGCTATTATAGATACGATTAATAACGAAACGCAAAAAAGGTTAGAAAAGTGCGGTTCAAATGCTAAATATTTCAAATTTTAACCCAACTGACTGAACTTCATAAGGACAAAAAGTACACACTTTAATAAAACTATATAAAAATGATATGAGTGATGATGGCTTATTTTTAAATCATTTTTAAATATAGTTTAGATATAGATTTTGATGTTTGTTTGTTTTGTATCAATAAACAGAGACAAAAGCTGGCAAGCTCCGAATTTTTGATTGCCCAAGGGCCCATAGGTATGAAAATGTAGGGCCCTACGAGAAGATTTGAATATTTCATAAATTCTTTTCATATCCCTTTTTATAAATTATAATAATGTGTTGTGAATAAATTATTAATTATTACTTACTGTTTGTATGGTCGATTCGGAATACGTAAGAGTCGATATCACCACGACCACTACTAAGCGGAAACGCATAGTGTTACCACGGCCGAAAATTTATCACAAAACGAATATTAAATAAAAAAAAATCACGAACGTAAAAATAGTGAACACATTTGGTCGTACCCCTGGGGGAAAAAATGTATATTGCGATCTACATGATGTCGGCCGATAAAAAAATGCTGTATTGTTTATTTGGATTCGTTTTCACTGATAGCGAATAATTGAATGGATCGCATTTATGGGGACGGATCAAAAATCGCGCGTAGTCGTACGCGCGGGTCTCGACCGAGCGGCAGGACGCTCACCCTGCTGCCACGATATTCTCCGTTGGAGTTGAGAATCCAACTGAAACCGATGTAACTCGTCCGAGTTCAAATAAAAGCTAAAACGCCAAAACCTGATCCCAGATACGATGCGCTTTATACCGGTAAAGCTGCCACACACGTGCCGCGTTTTAATGCCGCGATAAACGCCAAGGTTTTAGGAGCACATCTCTCAAACACAATCCTTCAATCCTTATTTTTTCGTGTCCCATAAGCAATGGTACATGGCAAAGTTGGAGATTCTTTAGGGAAAAATATTACGCTTCAACGAAACTTACCTTAGTCCAGAAGTTGCTATTAACCGAGATACAGGGTGTCAAAGTTGCAATTTTATTTTTGATTTTTTAAAATAAAGTTTAGCAAAGCGGAGCTTTTTGACGTGAGAAATCGATTTTCGTTAATAACTTTTCGCCAGATTGTAGAGGGTTCTACGTGTGGTACTTTCGCAACATTTGATACTTCCTAACTTTTTTGTACCTCAGTGTATGTAGATTTTTAATAAAGATATCTCTTCTTACACCTTTTTTAAATTAGTTGGTAGCTCGATGGGTCCTAATATGCAATTATCGATTAATCCGCATCAAACGTTTACTTTAAATTCCTGTTGGAAATGGCGTTCAGTTGTCAAATGGGGATTTTCTAGGTCCCACGCAAGCTTATTTCTAAAGTTATAGACACTTTGCTTCATCTGTAACCATTATTTTATTAAAAAACATTGGGTCGACGTTTTGGTTAGGTAGGAAAAGATTTTGCACAGTAGTCAAGTGATACGTATAAAGCCTTTCTTGCTGAAAAACGCTAAAAAGTGTAGATTTGCTCACTCCGGTGTAATAATTTTTTAGTCGCATAAAAGAATCCCTTTTAGAGCGGAACGAACCAGTTTCACCGATTCTGTTATAAATATTCCTAAAAATGTTAATGTCTTTGCGCTTTCGGTTTGGAAACATCTCCCAATGAGCTCGACGCCCATTATAATGCTCTTGTCCGTATAAACATGTTATGTCGCGCATCTCCACGTTGGAAAACAAATTATGACTTGGCAGTATCGGAAAACTATCCAAAACTTTTTTCAAAACGTCAAAAATACTGACAAACAGCGAAGAAATAAAAAAAGAAATTCACCGAAAGCGCCTTTATCGTATTTGCTTCAGTTAGTTTAGTTTAGTTTAGTTACATTGGACAATTTTCGTAAAATCGTAATATTTCTACTTAAAGAATCTCCTGTTTTGCCCTGTAATATTACTCATGGGACACCCTGTAAAAGTACCAGAACGCTGAAATATTTTGAAAATTTGCAAAGTTGGGGCGATAAAAATCCATATCCGTAGATTTTTGAACATGCAGAAAACAAACATGCTAACACCATTGTTGTAAGATTTACCACTTTTACGGTAGTCGTCATAATTTTATTATTTTAAATGGAATGCCCTATTCATTTTTTTTTAAATTAATTGAGCAATTCTCATAATTTGAAAATTTTGATTCTTTTAACTACTGAACTACGGCAACGCCGCGTTTTCAGTAAAAAGTAACATTGAACTTTATCGTTCCAGCTTTGCCAGTTTTGGCGTTATTTGAGCGTAATTTTTTGTGAAAAGGCGACGTTGCCGTAGCTCAGTAATCAATAGAAAAAAATCTGAATTACAACACCTTAGTCATTTGATTGCAATAAAAATAATTAGGGTATCCCATTTAAAATAACAAAATGATGAGGTTTAAAGTAAAAGTGATAAATCTGACAACATTGTTGTTTTGAATTCCGCATGTTCAAAAACCCTGAGATATTGAATTTAATCGTTAAAGCTTTGGCAATTTTCGAGATATTTAGGCGTTCTGGTATTTTCATTCAAAAAGCAGTGTGGTATATATATATATATATATATATATATATATATATATATATATATATATATATATATATATATATATATATATATACATATATATATATATATATATATATATATATATATATATATATATATATGATGACACTATATTCCGGGATATCATCCGTTCGCTCGTTGAACTCCGACTGGAATCCTGCAAATCCTGCATCCGACTGGAATCCTGCAGACGTTTCGCCAAAATCTCACTTGGCATCTTCAATGCTCGCGCTCCGAAAACACTTCGAACACGGAGCGCGAGCATTGAAGATGCCAAGTGAGATTTTGGCGAAACGTCTGCAGGATTCCAGTCGGATGCAGGATTTGCAGGATTCCAGTCGGATGCAGGATTCCAGTCGGAGTTCAACGAGCGAACGGATGATATCCCGGAGTATAGTGTCATCACATTTTTCCATCCGTGAATCAATACGTGAGAATATATATATATATATATATATATATATATATATATATATATATATATATATATATATATATATATATATATATATATATATATATATATATATATATATATATATATATATATATATATATATATATATATATATATATATATATATATATATATATATATATATATATATATATATATATATATATATATATATATATATATATATATATATATATATATATTAGCATTTAGAAAAAGGATGAAATTTATATAGTAGCAACAAAACGTTTTCCCAACGAAAAACAAAAATAGCATATCAGAAACGGCACCTAATATTTTCATTGATATTGTTTTAACATATTTTTCCTGGTCATTAAGTTATTAACACAAACGTTATTTAAACATCTTTAATTTCTAAAAATACAAGATATTATAAAAAGTATTCAAATGGACAATAATTAATAGGAAACACTGATAGATAGAGAGTTTTAAAAAATATCTCATTTATATATATTTTTGAATTTTATTTACTATTTGTGTTTTCTCCATTATGTAGATTATTGTAGAAAATCGCTGTACAAATATGAGATTATTCTTTTGTATTAAAAAAATCAATAACAATGAAAATAAACTAGGGTGCCATAAAACTGTCAAACATTGATTCCCAAACATGACGTGATCGCCATAAATGACGTCAAAATTCACGCCGTGGTTAATGCTTCCGGAAACAATTGCTGCCGAACTGGTATTTTAGGTATATTAAAGAAAAACTGTTAATACGATATAATCTGACTTTACCTCAGCAATAAGGTCGGAATAAAGATATTTGTTTGCAAGCAAAATGAGAAGTTACTTATAAATTACGATGGTTTTGCTCGCTGTCTAACAAAAGGGGTCTTTGCTACTTTCTTCGTTGACGCGGTTCAGTTTAAATTAAAATTTAAATCTGAACAGAATCTAATGGCAAACTTACAGAACTCACAATTTTTTTATATTATTTTTATATCTGGGACTTAAATATATACAAACAAGAAACGAACATTAATCTCAACTTACCAATGTGTTGGAACAATTCACTTCTGCATTTCTGGGTCGGTTCTGGGCAATTCGTTTAAAAGGACATTTCGTCTCTCTTTTGACGAAGAGAGTGTTTAAAGCATAGTGCATAACATAATCTGCTGATACTAAGTTGAAAAGGTAGAAAGCTGTCCATGTGGGGGGTACATTTCGGTCAAAAATCTCTGGGTATATATAGTTTAGCTACCAAGACATTGGAATAGGAAATCGATTGAGATTAAATTAGTTAAACTCAAATCTTTATTTGTGTCTAAAATGTCGATAGGTCTGAGTAATATAGTTTAAACTAGTCTATTTTCAGCGTAATAAGGAACTTGACCATTTCTTTTTTTAATTAAAATGTGTGTATATTTATAAAAACACATTATACCAAATATGACAGTAACTTTTTATTAACACTTAGTGAAGCTCGTAGTTGTGGTCATAGTGATGTGAGTGAAGAACTTTTTGCTGAAAAGAAAAATATATATAAGTATATATTCACTTTTTACAGTAAAGAAGTTGCAAAATAGGCCTAGGTCGTACTTGGGATTGACTGATGTAATTCGGTAAAATGAATTCTATGCTTCTATTTTTGACTTAAAAAAATTAGAACCGGAAGTACATTTGTTTGCTTAGGAGACGACTTTGCTGACAGTAGTAATAACATAATATTTAAATAATTTCAGCTGATAAAAGCTAGTAACGTGAAGTTCAATTTAATTTATCCACGCAGTTAAAAGTTGGGCAATTTTAAAATTAAATTAAACTTTAAATAATTTTTTGTATAAACTCTAACACTAAATTTCAATTAGCGCACTTTTTATATTAACTGAACTTTTAAATTAAATCTCTGTACCTATAAACTCACCTTAAGAATGGCGGTATGTTACTATTTTTACTTACTTGCTAGCTTTTACACCACAAACTTCAGTTTAAGAAAAATCCTTCGAATTTTTAATGTCGTAAATATATCAACTGTAGATAAATGGACTAATTGCCCTTTTATAAGACCCTCATCAACCATTTTCAGTCTTTATAAAACTTCCAAATACTAAATGAAGCAAAATTAAACAAAAATTTCTCCGAAAACATCGAAATACCACGTTCTATCAATGAGATTATTTTACCTGTTATTTCAATGTTTGTATACGTGCGGCCAGATGGAAACTTCATTTTGATAATACCTTACGATTTTAATTGTTTTTAAATAATTTTATTTTTTGTGCAAGTACCCTACTAGCCATAAAATATCTGTAAGTTACTCTCTTAAAATTCCGAGCCACTCCCATCTCCAAATTTGTTATTTGGAATCTAAAGGTTGGAAAGACGTAAGTGGCCGCACTCATTGAACACACAAGAGGAGGATTTTTTTGTTATTTTGCAAAATCTACTTTTCCGAAAAAGTTTTTCACGGAGGCACTAAAAAACGTTATTTTCTTTCTGTTATGGCGAATTTATGGTGATTTCTAAATCGAATTATATTTAATTCACTCACAGTCTACAAAAAAGGGAACCGCGATGTCTTTTCGAAGGGCGCGGTAACTACCGTTATGTCCCGAGATGCGTGGACGCCTTTACCAGCGCCTAATACATTTTTAGGGATGGATTGTTTGATATCGGTGTTATTAAAGGCTCGTCTTTGTT